TAAACATTTTCCTTGAAAAAGGAAAAAAAGGGACCCCACAAAGTTGGGGAGTGAGGGAACAGGGCATTGAAGGGCACAGCTGGGGACGCCGAGTTTTACCTGCTTCACAGTTTCATCTTAGAGTGGCTGCGTGTTGCCCTACATCTCAGTGGAGTAGTTAAGACTCATTTGGTTGCAATAGAGTAAAGCCCATACTTTGACGAGTTAGGCAAATAGGGGATTTATGGTCCCACATCACTGAAGAGCTGAATGGGATGGCTTGATCCAAGGCCCAAACAATGCCCTTGAGATCTCTCTCCTAGGGGAACACCTTTCTCAGGATACCCAGGTTCTCAGGCTCACATGACCACAACTCATAGGCCAGTAGGGAAGTAAGGCTGCTTCTCCGTATTTCAAGCAAGGGCCCTGACTACTCCAGCTGCATGATGTGTTTATCCTGAAGCCAGTCACTGAGGTTGGGAGAATGGAATGTTCTGGAAAGCTCTAGTCTTGAGATGTGCAGTGAGAAATGGAAGAATTTATCAATTAAGCCACATGGTTGGACGTTGAGAAGGAATCATTCCCCCCAAAGCAAAATTGTGACCTGTTGTCGTGAGAAGGGGCACCCGGCTGACGCCGGGTAAGAAGTATCCCAGGGGCGGCCATCGCTCTGGTGGTGGAGAGGACGTGTCAGAGTCACTCAAAACCATGGCCAGGGTCTTGAGGGCCTGTTAGCTGATTTAGGAAATAGCATGAGATACCCAGAGGCAGCCCTTCAAGAACATGACTGAATTCAAGAGGCCAATCTGCGGACAAATTTGGAATGAATTCCAGACTTGTAATGCCCAATGAGTTTGTGAAGAAAGGAAGTGACAGAAGGCAGAAATGGCATGTGCATTTGACCCACAGCCAACCACAGGATTGGCATATTGGGGTGATGTGGCCAAGGAGGGATTGGCATCCTCTTTAACTACAAAAAAAATAGACAAGCCTTTTTTCTTTTTTTAAATGTTTACTCCAGGGAATCCAATTTGTAACCATTCAAACCAAGTGCTTTTGAGGTTTGGATGAATGATTTTTCCTCAGTTGTTACCGCAAGCGTCGGAGCCAGAAGCCTTTGACATCAGTGAAGCCTTTCACCCAAAGCTTACAGTTCTGGTAGGAAGACCAGCTGGGGGTGGGGGTGGAGTTTGGTTGGAAAGTGGGGAGATTAGAAGCATGGTGAGGTCTCTGAGATTCCTACCAGATTTACAGGGGTGGTTTAGGATTTGAAGATTATTTTGGGTCTAAAAATAGATCCCCAAACTGCAATGTTCTTAGATTCACGCTCTTCTGTAAGGTTTCTGGTGGTTCTTGCCAATCGCACCTGAGAGATATTTTCTCTTTAATGTCTATATGTCCAAAATGTCACTCATTCACTCACTCATTCATTCAATCGGCCGCCGTTATACTGAGAGCTTACCGAGGTAGAACTGACATTTCATTCCATCCACCCCCTATCATTTCCTTGCCATCTCCACTGGTCCCTAAGCTGCCAGCTCAGCCACACATGGGTGCCTCCTGGATATTTCGGGGTCAACATCTCCAATACCCAACCTGCTGATATTTATCTCTCCCCTGGCCAAACTGTTTTCTATCTCAAGAAATGGCGCCTCCGTCCACTACTGGTTCAGGCTAAACCCTGGGAGGCATTCTTGACCTTTCTTCCACCTCATGCCTCACTCCAACCCAGCCCCCAGTGGGCTCTCAGTCAATATTGACCAAAGGAACTGACAGGTGGTTGAATGAGAAGAGGAATGAACAAACAGTGCTCCGAGCTGCCTACACCTGCCGTTCCAGCCGGCAACATTCCAGACACTGTAGGAATCCCTGCCCATGTCATGGAGACACAGCTGGAGTAAGTGTCCGTCTGAACAAAGAGTTTTACATTTTGAGAAACTCTTGCTATTTCCTGGAAACAGATTGTGTCTCTCTGATTGTCTATTAAGTTTTTTTTTAACTGCTGAAGATCTTGGAACCAAATCAAAGTAATATGCATTTCCATTTTTATATCTTAATTTATAAACTGCACCTTATAATTTACAGTCCCTCACTTGGTGTGTCTAACAGAGCCGAAACACATTCCAATCCTGCCAGCCACGCTACCCGAATCTCCTCTCTGCACTCTTCCTACCAGGAACTTTCTAGTTTTTTGGGTGCGGGGAGAGTAAGGACAGTAATGACGATATGTCACATTCATCTAGGAAAGAGAGGGGAAAGTCTCATTGCCCCCATTTTCTAGACACAGAAATAGAGGCTGGAGATGGGAGCGACATGACCAAAAGGCTTGCTTATGAGTGGTGAAGCCAGGCGTAGCATCTGTATTTCTGGAATTCCTCATGCCCAGGGTCTTTCTAGAACATTAGGTGAGGGTCTCTCCACCTTGGCGCCAGGAGCATTTTGGTCTGAATCATTCTTCATTGTGTACTGTAGGATGTTTAGTTGTATCTCCGGCCTCTGCTCATTAGATACCCACCCCACTGTGACATTGTCAAAGTGTCTCCAGACATTGCCAAGTGTCACCGCAGGCTGAGAACCACTGTGCTAGACTGCGTTCATTAAAACAGAGGCACAAAAGTTAGGAAAATTCATCTCCTTTTACAGCCCCTCTGCTCCCGTCTGTCTTCTCCAGTCCTAAGGTTTCGCTGAGATTCGCCCTGCCCACAATATCACCTTGACCTCGGAACAAACACCCAGGACCTGGCATTGGGTGCTTCACATTCTTGGTCACAGTTAACTCCCCAAAGTGGATACAACCAGCTCCCAATTTACAGGTGAGGAAACCGAGGCTTAGAGAGTATTACTTGCCCACAGTTACAGCTGGCGAGTGGCAGGCTGGGGTGCTAACCCAAATCTGGCTAGTTCTGGGAACGGAGGGTTTACCTTCTCTACCCTTCCTCCTCGCTCGGTCCACACCGCTGAGAACCAAAGCTTCTTCTCCTGGGGCAGCAGGACGGCACTGCACTACAAAAGCCTCACCACTCCTCTCCGTAAAGCACTAGTCCGTGCCTCCTGGGGCTGATGTCTTTCAGGCAAGCAGGACGCATGTCCATGGTTGTGGGTCCACGTGCCTGTTGCCTCCTCTAGAGGTCTGTGTCCTGAGCTCCTAGAACTGGGTTTTGCTGAGCGAAGCATCTGTAACGCCTGCCCATCAGCGGTGAGGGCCTGACACAGCAGCCATTTCTGGAGGAGGATCCTCGGGGCTGGGTCCCCTGTGGCCTTGAACAAGAGAAGAACATCTCTGAACTCGGTTTTCCCATCTATAAAATGGGAAGACCCACTTTTCGGAGTAGATGTGGGAGTTCAGTGATGATGAATGTAGACTGATTGACAAGGATGCTGGTGCTGGATAAATAGTGCCCATTCAATGGAATGTCCAACTCCTTCCATGGAATTATCTATAACAAACTCGCTTTCAATTCCTGAACCTCTTTTGGTCCGTCTGTAACCCACTACGTTCCATGTGGAGTTCCTCCTTTAGGGCTATCCGCTCAGCTGACGTCAAGCTCCCAGAAGATCCCTATGGCCTCTCCTCTGGTCCCCTTACCCAGTGGCCAGCCCAGTCTGTGCTCAAAATGTTTGCTGAGGGATCGATAATTGATGATTCCAACAGTAATAACCTTTTGCGATGGGTACTCCCTTTTCTGGGTATATCTTAACACACAAGAGTATTTTCCATGGTTAGTAGCCTGGTGATGGTGCCCGGCTCCCCTTGAGCGGTTTGGGCTATTCACCATTATCTCCCTTCTGCTTTGGCCATTTTCTTTTATCTCTCCAGGTCACACCACCTTGTGGTTAAGATTCAAGCTCAGCATATCAAATGTGCAGAGCAGAAGAGGGGCTCAGTAGAGCCTGGGTCCTAGTCCCCATCCTCACTCCAAGTCCCATTCCTGCCCCGTCATTTACTCCACCACCAGCCATGTCCTGATGTTTCCCGGGTCTCAGTTTCCTCATCAGTGAATTGGGGATGTGCCTCAAACTGTTAGGAGAAGATGAAATGCCCAGTGCCTAGGATGTGTCAGGCCCTCCATCTCTACTCATGTCTGTCTTCTACTTGGGGGGGGGGGGGTGCGGTGCCGGTGAGCACGCGAGGGAAAACTTTTGGAGGCTTGTAGCTCTGTAGCAAGCAGGAGGCAGCCCCCCCCCCCCCCCCAGCACCTAGGGGCGCACACTGGCACTGCCGTAGCAGCTTTTCTGCTCTACGTGCCTTCCGTAGGGAAAGGTGGCCGGCTGAGTCACCCCCGGGGGCTGCGGAAATGCGCGCCAGACCCCACGGCCCCAAAGACCAGCAGACCCATCCCCGCTGAACTCCATGGCACCATTCACTTCATTTCTTCTCTTAACAAATTAATCAAGGCTGCTCAAAATTCTGTACTTTTCAAAGCACCCAGCAATCAAGCCAGTTCCCCAGGTCCTACTTTTTTTTTTTTTGGCCTCACACTTTGTCCCAGCTGAAAGGAGCCCAGTGCCTCCCCCAAATCATTTGGAGCCTTAGGAGGGACAGCGTGGGGGGGGGGGGTGAGCCCCCGCCGCTCGGCCGGGCCCCCGTGGGGAGGGGAGGAGGCGGTCTCCGGCCCCTCCCCCAAGGTCACCCAACTTTTCCCCGGGGCCCCGCAGCTCCCGGGGAGGGTCGGGAGGGTCCGGGCGGGGCGCGGCGGGGCGGGCACCCGCCCCGCATTACTCATTGGCCAGAGCGGGCTGCGGGCGCGAGTGCTGATGTCAGGCGGGCGCGAGTGCGGCGGGCGCAGCAGCGGCGGCCGCCCAGCGCGCCCGGGCGCGGGTGGGGGGGCGCGAGTGGGGGTGGCGGCCAGCATGCTGCTCGGCTGCGGCTCGGCCTCCCACACCCGCGGCGCCCTGGTCCTCGCCAGCAGCGGCGGCGGCGGAGCAGCGAGCGGCGCCCGCGTCTGCAGCGGCGCGGGGTCCGAGCGCGCGGCGCGGCGGCGGCGGGCGCCGGGGCGGGGAGCGGGCGGCGGGGACCCGGCATGGCGCTGCGGCGGGGCGGCGGCGGGGCGCCGGGGCTGCTGCCGCTGCTGCTGCTGAGCGCCGCGTGCCTGATCCCGCCGGGCGCGCAGGTGAGGCGGCTGGCGCGCTGCCCCGCCACTTGCAGCTGTACCAAGGAGTCCATCATCTGCGTGGGCTCCTCCTGGGTGCCCAGGATCGTGCCGGGCGACATCAGCTCCCTGTGAGTGAGTGGGACCCCCTCCAGTCCCCGCCCCACCCCGCGCCCGCCGCCGCCCCGCCGGGGAGTTGCCGCGGGCGCTGGGACAGCGCGACCCCGACCCGGCTTCCCAGCCTCTGTCTTCGCGTTTGGGTGGGGGTGCGCCGTGGGACGTGGGTGGAGTCTCGGGCCCCGGGGAGGGTGGAGGGAACCCAGACCGGCCCCCGTGGCAGTGTTTTTTGAAGTGTGGCCCGCGGGCCACCTGCATCAGACCCACCTGGGGGAGCCCGTGCCAGTGCAGATTCCCGGGCCCGCGTTGAATGAAGCAGGGTCTCGGGAGTGGAGCCTCGGCCTCAGCTGGAGTCTGCACGTGTAGTCCCAGGTGATTCTGGGGTGCATTAAAGTTTGAGAGGATGGGGGAGGTGTCGTTGTGTAGGGACAGGAATGTGCCCCTGAGCATGACTGGAGTGAGTGTAAACAGGGGAGGGACGAGGCCTCACTGTCCCATCTCGCGTCCGGGGCGGTGGTTTACACCGTGGCCTCCTCCCGACCCGTCCACTGCAGGTCAGGAACGACCCGAGTAAAGGCATGCGGCCTCAGGAAGTGGGGGCCGCCTCATGAGGCCTGGAAGAGGGGAGCACCGGGCTGGGCAGAGACTAGGGCACCCAGGCCCGTGGCCAAGTGCTGGAAGACTTCTTGCCCCGAGTTCACAAGGGCTTCTTGCCCCCTGTCCCCACCACACATTATATTGGCTTTTTCAGCATTGACAGGAGGGGCCCCACCTTATTTCTTCACTTGCTAAGTGATGCTTCCAACCTGCCCCCCCCCCCGGCAGCCGCTCAAGCCCCACAGCCAGCTCTCCTAATGACAGTGGAAGGGGCTATGGGGCTTATCTTTACTGCTGGGAAAGGTTTCCTGCTGAAAGAACTTCCTCCTTCCAGGCCAGGGCGCTGGGGTGATGCCCACTCAACCACAGAAGCGGGGGAATCCCAGGTGTGAAGTTCTTCATGTCCCTCCTACTACACTCTCCTGCCTCCCACCCCAGGCAAGGTGCAGGGGTGAAGGGATTCCCCTTTGCATTTATAGAAACTCAGGAGGGTCTGGCTAGCAGGAACTGGGAGCCTTTTTGATTCCTGATGTTGCTAAGTCGAGGGACATGGAGGACTCCAGAAATTAGAATTCCCCTTGTTAAATCCTTTAGAACGGCAGCTGCTTAATTGCTCTGCATGTTAACTGAAGTAATTTTGAAATAATATATTGAGGTCCTGCTGTGGCCAGAAAGGATAGGGGACCTGGTGGCAAAAATAGTCAAGCCACTTGCCCCCGCATTGACCATTATATCTGGCAGATGGCATTGCCTCCCACCGCACATTCAAGTTCAGGTGACTCTTGAGTTTTTCCCCCAAGGCTTTCACAGTGCATTTAATCAGAAGTGCTCTGAGTGTCTTTCAGAGATGTGCTCTCAAGGGGAATGCTTAATCCTACCCTGGAGTTTCCCCAGCCAACATTAATGCTGTGTCTACACAAACAGAATCATGGGCAGAGGTGAAGTAATTATCTGTTTGCAGCCAGGGCGTCCCGTAGGTAAGAAAAGGAAGGGAGGGGATTGATTTAAACTTGCTGAGATAATGTCTGTGGAAGGAGCTAGACTGATGGTAAAGGCTTCTATTATTCAGACTAGTTTTCATATTGATCCAGTTCACCGGAAAATGGCTGGAGTCTTCTCGTTTCTCCCCCTGAGAGGCCCCTGGTTGACGATTTTAAGCCTCATTCCTGAGTGGAGGAGTTTGAAATACAGGTGCAAGGTATGACCATCCTGCAATCACTAATAAAAGAAACCTAGGCCCTGTTTTGCTTCACTTTTGCCCACAGGAGCCTGGTAAACGGAACATTTTCAGAAATCAAGGACCGAATGTTTTCCCATCTGCCTTCCCTGCAGCTGCTGTGAGTATGGGAAGTTCTCTCTGAAAATGGGCCCCCTGGAGGTATAGACCTGAGAGGGGCAATTCCTGCCTCATGGGTGTCAGCCCTTCCTTAAATACCCCCAACACCCTCAGGGTTTGCTTCCCCTGTGGTGTCCCTACCTGGCTGGGTCTCAGGCTCTTTGCTCAGTGTCTCCTTCTTTTGGCCTATGTTTTCCTCAAGGCCTTTATCATAGATCCCAACAACCCATCTTTTGGCAACGGGTGACATGATTACATTGAACGACGACCCGAATTTCACCTAAATGAAGCATTTCCCAAACACCTCACTTTACAAGAAAACCTACCTTTTAAACTCTTGCTGTTGCTCTGGGAACAGAAGTATTTTTCGTCAACTGGGTATATAAACAGTGGGGCAGCATACTAACCATTTATATGGAAAATGTTAGCTGATCATCCTATTAGCCCTACAAAGAGAGTATTTTTAGTTCCCCATTTGACAGAAAATTAAGGTTCAGAGGCGTTAAGTAACTTGTCCAAAATCCCAGCCGGATTCGAACCCATGCTTGTAACTGCTCTGTATCCAGCCACTCTTGGCAAGAACTCACGTCAGGCTTGGCATGCCTGTCCAGTTATTGTTTGCTGGTGAAAAGAAATGTCTAAAAAGCAGTTTTCAAAAGCAAGTCAGTGATAGGCAAAGTCATGAGCACATAGCTCATTCTGTTTATTCTGTTTCTTAAATTTGGGAGGATGTTAAAATCAAGCAACGTATTCCAGAAAAAATGTGAGGGAATGGACTATAGGAGATCACTTCCCATCCTAAATAAACTTAATGTGGGTATTTTTGTTCTTGAAATATTATGGACCTACTTATGACCTTGAACTTAACATTTTAAAAGCTGTCATTTCTTGGAAATTGTAGTTCTGTTAAAACATACTTTCCATATGTGGGAAATGCAATTTTAGGCATTTCGCCAAATACACTTAAGTGGTGACTATCCAGACTCTATTAACTTTTACCAAATAGGCTTAAATGGTGACTAATAGAAAACTATGTGCTGATAAAGAGTCTTCTGAAGATTTCTTAAACTTTTAAAAAGTTATTTCTCAGGGCAATGTAGAATATAGTAGAAGGGATATTTACGTCTTTTTAATTTTTGTGGTCTCAGCTGTGTGACTTTGGTCGAGTCGCTTTTCTGGGCACACATTTCTCTGAAACTAGAGTTGGATTAGGTCCTTCTAGATCTCTGATTCCATGATGGCTTGGGCACGGTAATACATTCACTGGCTGTTTAGTTGTGCTGAGCATTCATATGTTTTGAGAGAATTTACTGAGACCCACAGGGGAACGAAGGGTGGAGCAGTGGGGAGACCCAAAAATCTAGCCAACATACCCACTCGCCACCAGCATCGTGAGTTGGGTTGTGCAACTTTTGCCATGGGTCAGAATGTAGCAAAAGAGACAGAAAGGGGCTTCACGATGTGATTCAAGGTATAAATCTCGGCACTGAAATCTGTCCTTTATTTTTCAGATTGCTGAATTCTAACTCATTTACAGCCATCCGGGATGATGCTTTTGCTGGACTGTTTCATCTCGAATACCTGTAAGTTTTGTGCTTTTTGCTGAGCGTTCGGTATGTCCATAGAATCATTCTATGGCTTTCCGAGCAGGAACAGCATCGCTTAGAGAGCTTAGGGGTGGAGAAAATGGAGAACACCCCATTTTCTTTTCAGCCCTGACCTTTTATAGTTTACTTGTGTATAAACATGCTGGGACAGGAGGAGGTTGGAGACAAAGCGGGTGAAAGCAAACAAAGAAGGAAAGATATTCACTCATTCTCTGCTGACATTTAATTTGGCATGGAGTAAGCACAACTGGAAATTGCGTTGGATATTTTTACCTCTCATAATGAGGCATGGATTTGCTGATCGGCCAGAAATAAAGCTGTAGGATTCTGAGGGTTACTCATTTTTAAGTGAAGTCTCCCCTATATGGGGATATAACTTCACGTTTTGAATTTGACTATCCCATTTCCCACATGCAGTATCTCCTGTGAGCTGCTGATGAGAGTGTAATTGTATTTTTTTCTTCTTTAGAAGAAGAGGTCCTATTTTCTTTTCAGACATGCAGGTTCCCCGCCTAGCAGCGAGCTTTGCCCTTGTTGTGATTTTGTTTCCTGATTCCTTTTCTGATTTGCCTTTCCCCCCTTTCAGTCTTTTCCCCCCTTAAATGCTTTCATCGTTGTCTTTTGTAACTTTGTAAGAATATTAATCCTGCTATCAGATGGGATTTCCTTATTTAGCATTCAGAGGGATTTTTAAAGCCTGGTCTTTGCTTTCTTATCTGAAAGGTTAACAGGTAGATGTTAGAATTCTAAACGCATCCTGGGTCTAAGAAAACCCTGCTGATTTTATGTCCTTAGGAAAGATGTCTCTGAAAGAATTCTTTCTTGAGAATACACGGAATATGTATACTTTCATAACAGCCTGACGGCATACATAATATGGAAAGCGGCTTATGACTGAAGTGCTAGGAACGGTTGATGAGGAGAGCACATGTAAAGCCATCCGTTTTCTCTTGTGAGCAGTTCATCTTACTGCCAAGGTTATTGAGAGACAAGTTCGATTATCAGCCTATACTGAATTCTCGTACTGAAGAGACCCCTAACTTAAAAACATAAGACGTCAAATAAATGGCAGTACAAGAATCGAGAACTGTTTCGCCAACTAGTGGCATCGTGTTGCAAAACCTCTCCCTTGGACCATCTCATCAAAGACCCTCTTCCATTTGATGTAATGGGATGCCATAAACTAAAATTTAGTTCTCTGTAGTCCTAGGGAATAGTCATAGTGCATTTGCTTTATGTATTTCCCATGAAGACTTCAAAGCACGGTCAGGGTTATTACTGCAAGGTCCTGTGTGCAAGCCCTATGCCATTTTAGCACAGAGCAAGAAGTTTGGCCCATACTCAACTTCATTATATTTCCTATTTCCTAGTGCCTTAGAGATCTTGAGAGAATTCCCGCCTTGTTACCCGTTTGTTCAGAGATTAGGCTCTATGGGACATGCTGAACTTTTTTGCTGGAAGCTGAGCTTACTGGAATTCTCTCCCAGCAAAAACTTTAATACAGAGAAGTAAAACAATGGGCTTTCCTCAGGAGATAATGATATTAACAAGAGTATTAATAGCCAGGCGCTGTGAACTGTTCGAAGGTTTGAGTGGGGAGAATGTCTGGAAGCTTTCCAGCCTTGCAGAGATTTAAGAATTTCTTGCCTTTGTATTGGGCTTTCTTCTTTTCTTTCCCCCCAAGATGTTTTCCCCCTCACATTGCCAACTCTGAATGTGAGACCTCCATGCTGCTTCCGGAAGGAGTGCAGGACATGCATGCACCGTGTGTACACATTCTTGCCCACAAACCTGGCCCCCACTTGGAATCTGGTGTAGCTGACCTAATCCTTCAGAGATGAATGTTTTCAATTCATGACTGCTCTTAGAATTTGTTTTGGGGGTGCCTGGGTGGCTCAGTCAGGTAAGCATCTGACTTCAGTGCAGGTCATGATCTCTTGGCTCACGAGTTCGAGCCCCGCATCCAGCTCTGTGCCGATAGCCTACAGCCTGCTTCAGATCCTGTGTCTCCCTCTCTCTGTGCCCCTCCCTTACCCCCTTCCCCACTCTCATACTCTTTCTCACTCTAGAATAAACATTGAAAAAGTAATAAAAGTGAACATACTCCATTTAAAATAAAGAATCTGTTTTGAATATCGTTGTTTATAGAGATATTAAGTGGAGAAAATTCAGTGGAATGATACTGCTGTTCTCTTTAGGTTCATTGAAGGGAACAAGATCGAAACCATTTCAAGAAATGCCTTTCGTGGCCTCCGTGACCTGACTCACCTGTAAGTTCTATGAAAAATGTTGCAAGATGCCTTGTTCTTTCTTGACTTGTTCATATTGTAGCATCCTCTTGGAAATGAAGTTCCAAGTTGTTCAAAGTGTTTGGTATTGTTGATCAGACAGCAGCCCAGTGTGATCACTCATGCTCTCAGCTTAATTATCTTTTCCATTACCCTGAATTGCCGTGATGGACCACGTGACAGCATGTGAAGTGAGGAGCCGCAAGAGTCCGGGGTGGGAGGACTCTACCTCGTGTAATACACCTGCTGTGTGCCTGCATGCTTAGTGAGCCTTCTCTTCGTTATCGTTGTGAATCTCCATTTTACAGATTTGGGAACTGAGGTTTCAGTTGACTCATTGAAGAATGTTATATGCAGGATCAAAATTTGGATGAAAAGGAATAGAGACATTTGTGTGGTTCCTCTAATTTGAATGCAAATAGCTTTTTCTTTTATGTTGGATTAATCTGCAGCTTAAGCTAAGCTCTCTGGCTTCTTTAATAGCTTTCTGGAGGAAAAAAAATAAATTGATATGAATTGCCATATCAGAATGAGGCAAGTACACATACTTGGCAAATTTAGAAAACTGGAAGAAATAGTGGCTGTGTTTATGAAAATGTAAAAATAGTCATTGCCTTGGTAAGAACCATTTATTAGCCAAGAATCAGGTCCTATTTGCACGGTAGATATTTGCCATTGAGTAAGATAAACGTGTCTCATCTCTGTAATATAAAGGAAATTGGGAGAAGAGGAGGATTTTGAATGGGGGTGTTGGGCAGGGGTGATAATACCTTCAGCAGGTGCAACCCTGACTAATACACATTGAAAGAGGTAATCATTTACATCAAGCCCTGATCCAGGCAAAGGTGTCGGTCACCAGGCTCAGCGAGCACTTGATTCTGGAACCCTACCAAGCAGAGGCCCCGTCTGAGTTAAATAAAGCTCCTAAAGTAAGGAGATAAGGGAGGAGCGCGGGAGGTCCAAACATCTGGATCGGCACCATCCATCCTGGAGAGTGTCAGCCTCATGTTGCCATTATTGCCCCAGGTTTTCCTTCTGTCTCTAGAAGCCTTGCTTTGTTGTTGCTGCTGTTGTTTTGTTGTGTTTTCAGATGGAACCCAGATACCAAATTCCCATATTCCCGTAGAGGTTAAGATCATGGATTCGGAGTCACATAGACTTGGGCCAAATCTCAAGGCCATCATTAATTAACATTGCCTAGCTTTTGTGAACCACAGTCTCCTTATCCTGAAAGTGGGGGTGATTATACTGACCCCATAGGATTGCTGCATGTAGTGGGTTAATGCTGGTTTGCAAAGCATCCAGCCCATTAGCCGTGGTAAATGCTCAAGGTGTGGTTGGCACTGCCGTCATTATCATCATCCATGGCAACAGCATGGCCTCCCTCCACTCATTAAGAAGTCTCGATTTTCTCCATGGACTGCTGAGTACTCTTTGCAGTTTGAGTGGCCAGACAGGGTCTGCTAAGAAGACAGCTGTCAGTGTCTGGAGAGGAACAGCTGTGGCCAGATCAATCTGGTTCCCAGAAGTCAGGAATGGGAGGCTTTTTTTTGAGCAGAAGCTCTGGGCAGATCGTGAACTTAAGCAAAAAGCCATGTGACTGTCTGAGTTAGCCCAGATGTCAGCTTTCATTTGACCAATGGACTATGGGTCTTTGGTCAGAAAACAGGTGCGAACATGCAGTAATTGTGCATGTATATTTGCATATCTGCACGTTTGCTCATGGACTTCTATATGGGTAGATATGTGTACATACTGAGTGTTTACATAACTGTGCCGTGCATATGTGTTAAGAGGCACCTTCTCTTCTGTGTGACGCATATGACAATGAGCCCTTTGCTTGGGTCCAGCGTTCTTCTGCTGCGTTCAGACACTGGTCCCAGTGCACACTGCCATTCTGCAGTCAAGCCTACGGAGCCTGAGCTCCCCAGCCCTCCAATCTCATTTCCTTAAATGTCCTCAGAACACTGATCTCTCAGTGGACCCCAGTGCACACCCAACTCATCCAATTACTGGGCTTTCCCTCGCATCCGGTCCCTTGCCTGGGTTGTTGTATTTTCTACCTTAGATCTCCTGTCATCTGCTCTTTCCTCAAAGTCCACATTAAGTTCTCACTCCCCCATGGAGCCATTCTTGATCTCCTCTCTGTACCCTCCCTCTTGACTGCACACACCCAACACTTTATAGTAGTCCTGGCCGTACTGGTTGGTACCGTTTCATGATGTCAGTTCTGTCTCCCCAGCTGCATCAAAAGCTCCCTGAAGAGAGGGTCCGCCCGATCTTTCCTTAGCTCTCCCCCTCCCCCAGCATCTAGCACAGGGCTGAAAGCTAATACCGCATTCCTTCTGATTCCCTGGTGATCAATGGGTTCCTTACTGAGCTGGGTTTTCATTTGTATTCTGCTTCTGGGCAAGTCCGGTGACTTCTAAAACGGACTCCATCAACTGGAGATCTATGCAGGAAATAAAGCATAGATTAATACACTGTTGCAAGAATAGACCAATCCTCCCACCTGCCACCAGGTTTTGTCTACCTCTGAGCAAAGAGATTTGCACACTGTTTCTCCAAGGCTGGCACCTATGCTCAGGGAAGTCACTAGATGGAAATTGCTTCCTTAAGTATCTGGTTTGTATCTTTTTAGGAGGCTTTCCAGCACCTACAAACTCATTCGTCTCAAGAAGCGTAGATCAGGTTTCAAAACGTTGAAGAAGCAGTACCAATCTGTAACTAAGATCTAGGACATTTATTTTCCAGCAGTCCTGCGAAACCCAAGGGACAGGTTGCTGTTAAGTAGTTTCAGAAATGAAGTAAGTGCCATAAATTTGTAGGCAAAATGAAATGGAAAGGGAGATGTTATGCACTTAGTGTGAGTGGAGCCAGAAATTGAGCCGTGTTGTGCTGAAGAGGCTTAGAGCTCTGTTTTAAAGCATCTAAATAATTTGGCTTTCTGAAATTGAGTGCTTGGAAAGGTTGCTAAACATTCTACTTTTCTGGGCTTTGACCATTCCATATGTTCTTATCACTTTGGTACAATACATTTCAATTAGCTAAAAATGTTTAGCTAAATAATTAACCTTTAATTAGCTAAAAGACTTTTTGAGGCTTTCCAGAAAAAGTGACCATCAGCCATTTAAAAAGGAAAACAAGGATCTTTTTTAATTTCAGAAAGCTACTGCTCAATGATGTTCTGCCTGATTACATATTCAGCCTGTTTTCCAACATCTTTAAAAATGTGCCCATAAATCATTTAGGAAAGAAAGGTAAAATAATACATGAAATTGTATGTCAATCCATTTGTGGCTACATAGGTGGGAAGGGACATAATTCTGAAATGTTCAGGTTTTCCCGTATGCTGTTGGTATATTGCAGCAAGAATGTCTGGGTTGAAAATAGGTGCAAAGCTTCCTCCCTGAGCTGCTGGGTCACCATAATGCTACACAAGGCTAATTTCATATATATATTTTAAAGAGGTTGGTGATGAATTGCCTATATGTTTATCATTTATATGTCTTGCTGTTTGGACTCATGTGTATAAAAGAAAACAAAAGTAGGCATCCATTTCTTGGCTGACTCACATCAAAGCACGATGCCCTGGGGATATGCGCAGGCTCGATGTACATCTTTCAACACCCAGCATCCTTCTACGTTAACAGCCCCGCACCACGGATGTTCATCTTCACCAGGAGGATGACAGGGCACTGCATGATCCTGAATCATCAGAAAAAGTGTTGATGGCATTCGTTCTTCCTGGAGATGGGGAACAGACTAGGACATTTTAGATCCTCAAAGCTAAGAGCAGTGCAAAATGCTTTCTGGTCAACCTCCGTCAATGAGGAAATGAAATTGATCACAAGCCATTGTTCCCTAAACACTCTGTAGTTCACTGAAATTTTATATTATTGTGAAGTTAGAGCTGAGAGTCTTTATGTAAAAGAGTATTTACTGAATCCTTTCTTAGAGCCACAAGTAATAGAATTTGCTTAGATGGACTGCAAGGAAACTTCTTACACAAGACTGTACATCTTTTCTTTGATCATTCTCACTTAAGGGCTTCATTCACTCACTCAATAAAGACGTACTGAGCACCTACTATGTGCCAGGCACGGCTTAGATGCCAGGGATACAGATGTGGACAAACACAATCTCTGCCCTCATATTTCTTATGGGGAGAATACACAGCCAATAAGCATATAATTAGAGTATGTGGTATGCCAGGTGATGGGCGTGCCAGGAAGATCAACAGAACCCAGAAGGGAGATGGTAGAGGTCAGGGAAGTGGCGATCCATGGGGACAGACCTAAAACAGATGACGGAGTGCGCTGTGCGGCTACCTGCAGGAAGAGTGTTTAGGCAGATGAAACGCAAGTTCAGGGGCCTCAGGGTGGGAGCATGCCATGCCCATTTGAGGAATAGCAAAGGGGCCAGTGTGGGTGTTCTGAGCAGTCAGAAGTTCAGTCCTGTAGTTAAGTGGGAGTGGGAGTAACTAGACAATAGAGCGTCTTGCATGCCATCAAAGGGACTTGGGCTTTCATTCTGAGAAATATAAGATGCCATCCAGGGCTTAACAAATGTATACAAAGAGCTTCATGAATGCTTCTTTTACAAACAAAGCAAAAAGCACATTGTGCTCCAGCATCTTATCGTGCTGTCTTTGTGTCACAAAACTCATTTCTTTATCTCAGTATCAGTGAGCAAAGCCGGAAATTGAGCCATGTTGTCCCGAAGACGTTTAGAGCTCAGTTTTAAAGCATTAGCTTTATTTAAGGGACTTTGGAGTGACAGGGCATGTGGATAATAACCACATTAACATATGACTTTCTTGTTCTAGTTCTTTGGCCAATAACCACATAAAAGCACTCCCAAGGGATGTCTTCAGTGATTTAGACTCTCTGATTGAACTGTAAGTAAGGCAAATGCCTGTCATTGTGCCCAAGTTAATCATGTCTTTAATGCCATGTCCCCTCTCCCCTGCACTGCATTTCTTTAATGTCGTAGTCAGAAACTGGTGATGGGGCTCCTGGGTGGCTCAGTCAGTTGAGCGTCTGACTCTTGATAGAGGTTCAGGACCTGCTCAGTCATGAACTCGAGCCCCTGAACTGAGCGTGGAGTCTGCTTGGGATTCTCTCTTCCTCTGTCTCTCTGCTCCTCCCCTACACACTCTCTCCCTCTCTCTCTCACAAAATAAATAAATAAATAAACATTAAAAAAGAAATCGTTGACAAAGCGTGCATGATGGGAAACAGCATGTAGTTGGTATTTTGTTAAGTCTTGCCATGTTGGAATACACTTAGTAGCATTAGGTCAGTGGCACATTAAGCTTGGCAAGTGTGAGGTTTCCTTTCTCAAGGCAGCGCATATCCTCTGCTTTATCTTCTAGTGTTTGTCACTTCTTACTGGACCTTGTTCAACAAGATCGTAACATTTCGATTGTGTTCGTGAAAGCTGTCTTCCTATAATGTCCTGACTTTGTTAGAATCCGCGTCTGGCGGGGGTGGGGGGGCGGGGTTCTTCTGTCTCCCCTCCCCCATTTCCAGCATGGCTCGGTGACAGCTTCAGGAGAGTTTGGAGCAAAAGTGCTATGTCAGCTCTGAGAGCTCTCTGTGGGCTCCAGTTCAAATCATGGGCACTGAAGACCATTAAGGAAAGTCAGTGATACACACGTGCAAGAAATAGGATGCATTCAATACAACATTTTTAAACATTTCTTTTCTTGGGGGGAATGAAATAGATCAGGATGTTAAGTCATCGTATTACCGCTGAAACATTTCAGGCACGTCCGTTTCTCCAGAGAGGTGTCTGCATTTTGTTTTGTTTTTTTTTAGAGATTTAAGGGGCAATAAATTTGAATGTGACTGCAAAGCCAAGTGGTTGTATCTGTGGCTGAAGATGACAAATTCCACGGTGTCTGACGTCCTGTGCATCGGTCCGCCGGAGTATCAGGAAAAGATGCTAAACGATGTGCCGAGCTTTGACTACGAATGCACAACCACAGGTATTCAGACCCGCTGTCACGGAAGACTCTTCTTGAGAATAGTCCTTTTATGTTTCTTTTCTATCATCCATGGGGACCAGAGAAGAGTGGGTGTAAAAGGTTTTCTATCCAAATTATTGGTGACATTGAAGCATTCTAAAAAAAAAAAATGAGGTGGTCAGGAAAACGTCTCAACAGTTCAGAAGGATTTTTTGTTACCTGCCTTGGCTTGTACTGTGACGCTTTACAAAATTCAAATTTCTCTGAAGGTTGTTTTTTGTTTTTGTTTTTTGCTTTTTTGTTTTTGGGTTTGTTTTTTTTTTAATGTTTTTTATTTACTTCTGAGAGAGAGAGAAAGAGACAGAGAGCATGAGCAGAGGAGGGTCAGAGAGAGAGGGAGACAGAGAATCTGAAGCTCATAAATACGAGAGAATCTGAAGCAGGCTCCAGGCTCTGAGCTGGATGTCAGCACAGAGCCCGACACAGGGCTCAAACCCACGAATCGTGAGATCATGACCTGAGCCGAAGTCAGACGCTTAACCGACTGAGCCACCTAGGCGCCCCTGTTTTTGTTTTTTTAAGGGCCATGCAAATGAGGCTTTTTTTTTTTTTTTTTTTGCAAATGAGGCTTCACGGAAAGTCAGGGAAGAGAGAGATCCAGACACCACATTCCTGGTGTCTGGATCCACTGTTGTCACTGTTCTCTTGATTGAATAATAGGAGGTTTACTGAACGTACAACTCATAAATACGAGACTTTAAAGTCCCTGCATAGCTTTTGTAGTTCCCTATAAAGAAGAGATGCTGTGTTGTATTATAACCAATGGCAAAATAGAAATAGAAGTGAACAAGTAGTTACCCGAAGAAAAAACTCACATTGAGGAAAAATGTAAAGGAAGTTTGATTTCGCATTTTTCCAGGGCCTGCCTCAAGGCTTCCGTTTATACATTTTACAGGTTATGAAATAACATTAAAATACTCACTGCCTCCAGTGTCACATCGTGTAGAGAGTGGGTGAGTGTCCCCGTATGAAAGGCTTAGGTAGAGTTTTCTACAGCTTCTAAAGCCAGATTTTAAAGGAAAACGGATCAATCCACAGTATGAAGCCTGCTTACCAAACTTATAAAAATAAACATTTAGGCTGAGAGTTGATATCTACAAAGCCTCAAGGCATGTCAGTGGGAACAGCAGGAATGAGAACTCAGAAAATAGTTACAGAAACTCAAAGGCAAAAACACCTCCCAAGAATAAAATGTGACCTTTAGGCCAGCCCCACTGCCGCCCTCCAAACAAACAAACAAACAAGAACTCATAAAGTAGAAACTGTTTCCAGATATCTTTGTAAATAAGGAACTTGACAAGTTCACTCTTTTTTAAAGGAAACCTCAAGTCCTATGGGATGCCCTTGTCTTCCATCATTGAACAGGAACCTATTCAGCTGTGTAATTGGCAGGTGCCCTTTGCCAGCTGAGGCCACTAGCAGGTTATTTATTATATTGTAGAGCAGTGCAATAAATCAGAGGTCATAGTCAATGACATTTGCACCAAAAGGTGGCATTCAAGGCCATTTGGTGTGAAATGCCAAACTACAGCTCACTGGGGCTCCTTTTTTTGCCTCTTTTCCAGTTTTTCTGGAGAATTCTCTGAACCCCCAGGTGAAGGGAGCAGCTTTCCCATTGTTTTCTTCACACCTGTCTGAAAACTCTGCCAGTCTCTGGGAGAAATGACATGGGCTATCGAGGGTCTGGGAACAGGGGATCATTTGTATGAGGAAACCTGATTTCTGACCTGAGAGCCCTAGGGGTGGTTATGGAAATGATCTGGGCTCTGAGAATTTTCGGGAATAGAGGGCGCTTGGAACCAAGGTAGCCAGGTCAGGGAACGGGTCCTAAACCCAGAGCCCGTGATGCAGCCTGAGCCCCTAACACATTTTAGGGCATCCTCATATATATATATATATATATATATATATATATATATGCATGTATATATGTATATGTATATATATGTTTATATATATGTGTGTATACACACACACATATTTGTCTTTGCTAAAAAGCTTCCTACTAAAATTTAGATAGTCAGCAGTCCTCCTTGGTAACAGGGAGGTGATGATTCTCTCTTTGCTACTGTTTTATCCCTTGAAGACTCATGAACAAATTAGCTTTTGCTCGTAGTTCTCTCCATCGAGAAAAAATGGTGGAACCAATTGTGTCCACCCCCAGGTATAGTCCCTGCCTTGTGAGAACTAAGTCAGTACATTCTGAGGGGTTTTTTGGTTCCTATCTTCTGCTCATATCAAGGCTTATCCTTTGGTGCTTTATTAAAGGCTGGGAAGGAAATGTGCAAGGATGGCAGATGGAAAACCGAGTCTGAGTCCTGGTACTCTTACGGCAGCCTCACTGAATTTCAGGGAGGAAGCACATTGTCTGAGGGCATTGCTTTTCCTCTGAGCTCGGATTTTCAGGGAAAGAGTAAATTCTTCAGGTAGAGGAGGGAGGGAAAGAGCTGTTCTTTCCAGGGAGAGGAAGATACTGTTACCGTTGTGTTCTGTCTGGCACCTGGGTGTAATTAACACCGCAGAACCACTGCTGGACTGTTTCAGCTTCTAGATTAATCACAGTCCTTCCATAATCCTCCGCTTCAAGTCTATTTTTAACCACCTCAAACATCCCTGTTACCTACTCATGATTCCCCATGTTAGGTGGATAATTCACTAAATTCCTTAGAGGGAGTGAATTTTGCATCCTAATTGTCCTGTTAGCTTGCTTATTTCTGGGCTGATGAAAAGCAAAGAGAAATAATGCATTAATGTGCAGCTTCTCTCCCAATAGGATCAGCATCATGTATAATTTATTTTCTGCAAGGGCTATAAATAGCCATGTAAAAATCTGTTGATTCCAGTGGGAGCAAGGCCTAAATTGTGAGAATCCCACTGACATCATGAACTCAATCCAATGTGAATGGAAGTGGCAGCGCATTTTGCAGAGAATGCCATTAAGACTTTAACACTAGCAAATTGATGTCGTATCAATATGTGTATTGTTGGAGAGCTTTGCACAGCGAATGTGCTTTTGCTGTTCATGAAAGATGAGTTAAAACGGGGATGCGAGAAGATCTTTAAATTCCTTGAGCCCCCCACCCCCACCCCAACACACAGTCATCAATCATTTTCTTTCAGACATTTCTTCCTTTTCCTTCCTCCTTCTCTTCCACCTCTTCCTCCTTTTTTTTTGGGGGGGGGAGGTGTAGGTAAGGGGAGAAGGACTCTCCTGTTAAGAATTACATTTATAATTGAAATGATTTAACAGTCTGTGCTGTGCCAGATAGTCAGCATATAGAAAATATTATGAAACCAATGTTGTGGGAAAACAAATGAAAATAGAACCGTTAACAGCTCGATTTGTAAGATGCTCTCTAATTTTGGCAGCTCTCTTTCTCTCTGGGATTCTTTTAATAAAAAACGGAAACTTTGGGGTCTACCATTTACACAGCCTGCCCTTTTCAGCAAACACTCGTGTTTCTGAGACTTGGGAGTGCGGGTGGGAGACGCGGGTCACGAGCAGGGCGGGAGTGTTCGAAGCCTTTGGGGCTCGCGTTAGCGGAAGGCGGCCGAGAAGCAGGAGGAGTTGGTGGCTGTCTCGTGATAGAATGCCGCAGCCTTCCTGGAGCCCTTTGCTGGAGCAGATGGTGACAGTTACCATTTCCCTTTTCCCGGCTATCTCCAGGTTGAGGTTTGTGTGTCTTTACTGCTTGATGGAACGACGCTGCTATCTGGGGGGTTTGACGGAAGGGTGGGGCCAGCAGCTGTTGTCATGCTTCCTAAGTGATCACCCGGGCCACTCGACTGGTGTTGCGCAGTATATGAAGCTCGTACATAGAGCTCCTATGTGAAACTCCCCCCTGCTCACTCTGTGTGAGGCTCCGTGCTCCCACTTACGCTCTCGTAGTCTCTACAGCAACTTCGTGCAATAGATGCTACCCTCAGTTTACTGATGCAGACCCTGAGGTTCACGTTTCTTGCTCAAGGTCACAGAGCTACAGGTACAGGCAAGAACCTAAAGCCTCAGCTCTTCCGGATGCTCCACGCCCTGCCGTGGGGGTGAGGGGATCCCGCATGCACTACGGACACTGGTCCCCACTCTCCAGCGGCCACTTCTTGCCATCAGGGTGCAGAGGCAGCCTCCTTTTTGATTCTCTCTCTTCTCCCTTCACCTGTGTGTATCATACAATGACCCCCAACTTCTTCCCCACACAGCCTTCAGAGTGGGCGACGGGGCAGGCGAGGCCAGCCCTCCCACGCTTGTAAGCCGGGGCAGCACTTACTATGCACCTACTGTACACTCAGAATGGGGATAGGGACACCTCCAAAAGTTAATATGTATTGGGTCCTCACGTTGTGGTATGCACAACTCTAAGTGAGTAAGAGTGATAACATACAATAAGGGGGTTGAATAACTTCCCCACGGTTACTCAGCAAGACCTTAGAGTCCCAGCTCTGCCGTGTTATCTTAGATACCATTAAAATGGACACCTCCTCAAGACGCAGCCCGGTGGTGGCTAGGACAGAGGAGGCAGACTGTCCTTTCTCAGACCTCGATTCCGTATTTATGAAGCACCTACTACGTGCCAAGCCCTGAGATGGGCGTTTCTACTGACATTACCAGTGTGTCCCTGCCATCAAGCTTGGCAGGTAAGAATCTTGGCCCCATGTTGCGCATAGGTAAACTGAGGCCTTCTAAGGGCAAGTGCACAGCCCACGGTCTCAAGTGCAGGAAGTGGATTCAGGTGGTCTGACTCCAAGCACTGGTCGCTGTGGCCCTTGCTGCCTTCACTCCCTCAGCCCTGCCCCCATCTCCCACCCCTGTTACCTGCTCTTCTCATCCCTAGCTCTACTCTTCCCACCTCCACTTGCTCGGCGTCTCTCACTTCCTTTCCCGCCTCTGCCCTGTCTGCACTTCCTGCCTTTGCTCACTGTTGAGTGGCCCACCCCTTTATGGTCTTTCTCATTTGACATCTTTTAAAAATTTTTTTTAATGTTTATTTTATTTTCGTGTGTGAGAGAGAGACAGAGCATGAGCAGGGGAGGGGCAGAAGGAGAGGGAGACACAATCCAAAGCAGGCCCCAGGCTCTGAGCTGTCAGCCCAGAGCCTGCCTGATGCAGGGCCCGAACTCATTCACCGTGAGATCATGACCTGAGCCAAAGTTGGACGCTTAACCGACTGAGCCACCCAGGCGCCCCTCATTTGGCATCTTTTAAGAGGCTTCCGAGTCAGAGTTATTTTTTTTTTAATTTTTTTTTTAATGTTTTATTTATTTCTAGGAGAGCGAGAAAGAGGCAGCGTGAGCAGGGGAGGGCCAGAGAGAGAGGGAGTCACAGACTGAAACAGGCTTCAGGCACTGATCTGGCAGTCAGCACAGAGCCCGACGCGGGGCCCGAACCCACGAACCGCGAGATCATGACCTAAGCGAAAGTCGGACGCTTAACCGACTAAGCCACCCAGGCGCCCCCAGAGTTATTTTTTAAGTGGCTGCCATAGGCTTGTGCCGTGGAAGGCTCCCGGGAGGGTCAGACCAGGCCCAACCTCACAAAGCCCTCAACTCAGGAGGCACATGACACTGGCTGTGTGGCCGTGGCCGGGCGCACACCCTCTGTGAGCTTCAGCTTCTGGCCCTGTAAAATGGCCCAGGGCTGTACGATCTTTCCCATTTCTCCAAATCTGACTCTGAAGTCACTATGCAGGAGATCAATCACCGTGAAGAATAAGATTTAAACGGCAGTGCCTAATTATGAATGCAGTGAGTTAGGAAAGAGCCCTGTGCATTGGCCCCGGGAAGGCTTTGCAGCAGAGATGGGGCTTGAGCAGACAGGGCTAAGGATGGGTGGGGAGGAGACGGTCAATGCCAGTGTTTTCTCATAGGGAAGATTTCCCTTAGCCCCATGCCTGCCATCATCTTACTGGGGTGCAGTTAGGCTGCCAGGAAGCAGAGCACACTGAAGCATCTCTAGCAGAAGAAATCGCTTACCTTAAACTTTATTAGTGTTTTGGTGTGGTTTTTTTTTTTTTTTTTAATTCCTTCTTCGTTGGTTCTCTGGCTTCCCCACATACTCACTCTCCTTGTATCCCGTGGCATGCTCTCCCTGTGCCTTGGTAAACTTGTGCATCCCTACCAAGATCACACGACGAGTCAGTGGTAGCTCAGGGGAGCTCAGCAATACGGATAGAAGTGGTCGCGCTAAATGTGAGGGCAGAACTCATGCTCAAATAGGACAGTTCCGTGTGGCTTGAAAATCCAACAGATCTGGGGCGTCTGGGGGGCTCAGCCAGTTGGGGGGCCAACTTCAGCTCAGGTCATGATCTCACAGCTCATGAGTTTGAGCCCCACATGGGGCTCTGTGCTGACAGCTCAGAGCCTGGAGCCTGCTTCGGATTCTGTGTCTCCCTCTCTCTCTGCCCTTCCCCCGCTCACATTCCGTCTCTGTCAGAAATAAATAAACATTAAAAAAAAGTTTTTTAAAAAGAAAGTCCAGCAGATCTGTAATTGCCCGTTGAGCTGCAGAATGCTGTCCAGATCTCAGGTGTGGCCATCACTTATTATGGCACCGAGTCCAGTAACCGGTAAACATGCTTAGGTTAACTTCCCTGCACCGTGGGCATCATAAATCTCTGAGGCTGTTTCGGAGGCTTTGGTTTGGTTTCTGAAATTGCAGTGTGCCCTTTGGGGAGCTTGCTTTTTTTGTTGTTATTGTTTTTTATTTTTGAGAGAGAGACAGAGCACGAGCAGGGGAGGGGCAGAGAGAGAGGGAGGCACAGAATCTGAAGCAGGCTCCAGGCTCTGAGCTGGCAGCACAGAGCCCAATGCGGGGCTCGAACTCATGAACCATGAAATCATGACCTGAGCTGAAGTCGGAGACTTAATCAACTGAGCTACCCAGGAGCTGCTGGGGAGTTTTGCTTTTGGTTTTGAACCTGGAGCGGGGGTATTTCCCCCCAGGGGTAAGGCAGAGCATTGGCAGTATAACAGGGTTGTACACAATCACCGTGGCAGGTGAGCTTGAAAACCTCCACAGCAGACAAAAAACAGGTTTTTGCTACTGGGGCTGTTCCAAGAAGGTTTAGAAAGACAGCATTTCCCAAACCGGTGTGACCGCTGCCGCTCTCTTCCCAGAGTAATTTGCACGATCATTTCTGGAATGTTGCTGTGTGGGGTCTTTTGTGGTTTTGAAAGCCAGGTCTCACCAAATGTGTTTAAAACTTGGAGATCCTGCAGCTAAACTGCGAGCTATTTGTCTCAAAGAAGAGAATGTAGAAACTGCATTCATCATCCTGTACAAGGCAGAGAAGCCTTCCAGAATCTCCCAGAATACTGAGCGCTACGATGTGTGTGCGTGTGTGTGTGCGTGCGTGTGTGTGTGCGCGCGCGCGTGTGTGTGTGTTGCCTCTCTCTGGCCCTCCCTCCTTCCCGGTCCTCTTCACATCCAGTGATAGAAAAGGGTAGAAGGATGATGGTGATGGATAATTCCCACAAGGGATCTCATAGAGACTTTTTTTTTAAATACCCGTCCCCAGATTTTGTCGTTCATCAGACTTTGCCCTACCAGTCGGTTTCAGTGGACACATTCAACTCCAAGAATGATGTGTACGTGGCCATCGCTCAGCCCAGCATGGAGAACTGCATGGTGCTGGAGTGGGACCATATCGAAATGAACTTCCGCAGCTATGACAACATTACAGGTGTGTTGTGGCTTTGATCAATGTATCGCCCTCATTTCGCTGTGGCTGGTGAGTGAAGAAGCATTCGGTCCTCCCCAGGAAGGAGAAGCTGGTCTCTGACTTGGTGGGAGTGGGGGAACACATCCCCGCCCGCCCTCGTCTCTCATTCTTTCTCCACTTGGTCAGTTACTGGTGAGAACAGAAACTTGGGGTGGTGGTCTTATTATTATTCAAAAGGGAGAGGGGATGGGTGGTGTGTCTTGGGAGGCATTTTCTAGTTGTGGTGAGAAGTCACCAGAGAGTCCCTTAATCCTAATCACCTGTGGCAGCCTAAGACCTCAACAGCTTTTCAGCCGCCCAGGGAGACCTTTGACTTTTGTTAAGCTGACTGTGAACAGATCCGTGAACACGCACGTGCTCACGCGTACATGTGCACAGACGTGCATGCGCACACCTGCCCACGCCTGCCAGGTCCTGGTGACCACAGCTTCCTTCTCATAAATACGAACACAATAAGAATTCATGCCTATTCATCTCTAAATTCATCTCTAAATTCATGCCTTTGGGTTGAGACCTAGTTAATGCTTCTTTCAGTGCTGTCGGGAACCGGTGTCTTAGCGCTACTAAAAATGGGCTGTCTACTTGGCTCTGTAAATCGTGGGTAGAGTCAAAATCATCTTTTAAAGACTTCTCGTTTGTCAAGTGCGATCTGATTATACCACTGACTTTATAAACAGCACCACGGTGGCCTAATTGTTACCCGGGGAGAGGTTTGCCTTTAGCGGTTCCCGATTTGGAGTTAGAGCAGTGTTTTGCTGTGCACCGAGAGCAGCGTATCAGGTAGGAATTCCAGATGAGGAGGCTCCTAGGAATCTCTCGGGCGCAACGTGGTTTTGCAGCAGGTGCAGGGGGTGTAGGGAGGCGGAGAGAGTGTCGTTTCACCCCTCCAAGAAGAGAGACGCTAATGAGCCTAATTTCTGCAACACTGAGAGGTCTGTGAGGCAGGCGAGCACCTCCGTAAGCTCAGAAGATGCCACGTCAGATGAGCCTCTGCTGTTGGGCCACCTGGCTTCCTAGTGCTGAGCTCACAATCCCGAGAACAGCCCCCCTCGCTTCAAGTGCACATTCAGCACAGAGCACCGCAGGTGAACCGGTCGGGAAGCCGAGGAGCCCAGAGTCTGCGTTCAAGGGAAAAAGGAGGTGGAAAGGGGGGGGCCTGCTGTCCACGTGCTTTTTGCTTCCCTCTTTTTGCAGACTTGGAGGGCAGGTGAGGGCTGAGAGAGCTGGCGCCTTGCCTCCTCCACCCTCCCCGTGGTAGACGGTGGGAGCAGAGCCAAGCCTTGTTCTGTGCAAGGGGCTCCACACCAGTGCTTGTTGCTGCGGCTGGCCATGGGTCTGTGGGGTGCCGGGTGCTCGTTTGTCACACTGGAAACTCGCAGCAGCCCCTTGAGGTGTTCGTGTGGGTTGCTTGCCCGCCGGAGAGGACGAAAGCCCTGTCCAGTAGAGAGGTGACAGACAGATGATAAAGAGCTCAGGTTTTGAAAATGAATGAACGTAGATTGGACTCCTGACCCCGCCAGGTACTCAGAAGTGGCTGTGGCTTCTGGGGCTCAGTTTCCTCATCTGTAAAATGGGCAACACAGGTACTTTATATGGGTACTGTGAGGATTCAGAGTGCCAGGCACAGAGCAAGCAGCTCTCCGCGCTGGCTTCCTTCTCACACCTTTACAAACAAAGAGATCAAGGCTCAGGCATGTTGCATCACTTGGGGGGCAGAGCTCAGGGCCTGTCACAGATGCATCTCACCACTTTCCTCTCTCAGGTTGACCTGGGTAGGAAGGGACAGCACGGGCCTCCACCTGCCCTTCCCAGCGGTCTGCAGCTGGTTACATCCCAACAGTCGTCAAGTCTGTCTTTCTTTCTCTTCTTTCTTTCTTTCTTTCTTTCTTTCTTTCTTTCTTTCTTTCTTTCTTTCTTTCTTCCTTCCTTCCTTCCTTCCTTCCTTCCTTCCTTCCTTCCTTCCTTCCTTTCCTTCTTTCTTTCTTTCTTTCTTTCTTTCTTTCTTTCTTTCTTTCTTTCCTTCCTTCCTTCCTTCCTTTCTTTCTTTCTTTTCTTTCTTTCTTCCTTCCTTCCTTCCTTCCTTCCTTCCTTCCTT